TTAAGGTTTGAAAGTTCCAATATTTTGACATACATTACAAAATATCTTGTAAAATTTTCATTTTTTTATCATCTTACCTTAATACTCTTTTGAACAGAATAATGAGACAAATCAACCGGTGTAAAAAAACACAATTTTGTAACAAGTAATAAAAAAAATTTTTAAACAATTTTCCATATATTTTACTAGTAAAATGTATGGAAAAAATTTCAAAAACTCTCATCGAAGGTCTTAAAAATGCCGTGTTGTCCCACAATCACACGATTTCCAGGGTAAATTTTAAGAAAAGAAATTCTCCGTCTACCGATATGGTTTTTTCGAAAGTAGTTGGAACATTTAAAACGCCACGCTTGCCAGGTGCGTTGGCGAGTGTTTGTTGATTATGGGAGCAGACTCCCTGTTCGATTTGTTTAGCGTTGGACTGTTCTTCTTTTACATGTATATAAAAAGAACAAGATGCTCCTGGAAGTATCCAGTTCCTTTCGAGCAATGGCGATCGAACAAAAACCGACAATTTCTAGTCGGATTTGAATTTAGAGCTTCGGCTTAGAATAGCGGCGCACAATTCTCTGCGACACGATCGCCTCTAAATCATTTACATAGAATTAATTATATTGCATTGATGTATTAATACGTTGGCCATTAATTTTATAAATATGAATGTTACAGAAGCGCCCTGTACATAAGAGACAAAGAGATAGTTACGAGCGTATCCTGAAATGCGTGACGCATCTTATTTACCTGTTGGTAGAAACTGCGAGTTCTGACGAAGAGAAAGCTCTGATGCACGAACTGGTTCGTGGTTTGGTGAAACAAAATCCCAAATCTGTTTATACAGAAGACACGCTCCTCCATCTTTGCGTTTCTAGTTTAAATACGATTAATTCTAGTTATTTTACTTCTGCCGACGATATGCATGTAAGTATAAAACCTCTTACGTATTCTATAAATATTGTTGTTTCCTCTTGCTCTTTTTACGAAAAAAATCAGCCACAAATTAAATATGTGTGGCAGAAATGCATGTGTAATAATAATATACGTGGTAAATGATCAATGGCATCCTAAGAAGCCGCCGCTCTCTCTCCTAGAGAGCCTCGAATCACCACTTCCCCCTAAGAAGTGGGCGACCGAACCTGAGAAAAGCGACAAATCCTAGGCAGGATTTGAACTCGGCATCTGTGGCTTACCCAGTCCAGCGCAAACACGCTTTGCGCCACACACGCCACTTATAATAATATACGTATGTGGTGTATATTTTCAGACAATCTTTCCACGTTTGGAAGTTGTTAAATTACTCTTGGACTGTGGGGCATACGTCGATACCAGAAATATGTTGCGATCAACGCCTTTACATGTAGCAAGTAACGCTTATAACTTCCATAATCCTGTAAGTATTTTTTTTATATACATATATTCCCCAAAAGTTTATAAATCGAACTTTACGACTCACATTAAAAACTTCTGTTTGTAACAGTTGATAAAATTGTTGTTGGATAACGGCGCGCACTTAGATACACCAAATAGAGCGGGCGATACACCAGCGCGACTGATATCCTCAAATCCACTGAATACCGTGAACCTTCTTAGTCACACTACCCTTCAGTGTCTAGCCGCGCAGGCTGTTTGTAAATATGGAATCCAGAGTACAGAATTGCCTGCTACGTTAAAACGTTTCCTGGATCTTCATAGGGAATGATATTGATATTTTTTTAAATAATTATTGGATGCTCATCAACATCCGTAATAATAATCATGATGTATTTTGTTATAATTAAAAAATGTACGACAATATCAAAGGATTTACATATACATAAATGAACAGTGATGTATATTAATTGTAATTAACGCTAATTATAAACAAATCATGAAACGTAATGTTATAAAATTGTGAAATGTATCGATGTCGAAATTTAATTATAAAGAAAGTACTATTTTTAGTAATTATAACTCTCTTATTAAGTATATAAGATCTACATTGTAAATACGATCGCGCGCATTGTAATACGTTAAAGCGAAAAAGACTGAATGAAAAGAGAATGCTTCTGTAAGAACTAATTTTCTCGATTAGGAACATGGCAATATGTAAAGTATCATTTTTAATATTTCTGTACAGCGATTCGTGTAATTTAATTACATTAAGAGTTCTTGCAATCTTAGACAGCCATTTTTGGGTATTGCAAGATATCGCTTAAGAGCTGCACTCAAAAATTGTTATGCACATTGTATTATATAATAAAAAGATACTCTCCATGCAGTAAAACAAGATGCATATTGACACCAATATGATGAATTGTCGGATATGTCAAAGTTTAACTCTTTTAGATACTCTAAAATCTAGATCACTTTCCTTCAAAGATACGAACAACCGTAGAAATAAGAAAAACATCTGCAATAATTTTAATCTATTGATAAATTACTATATCTTAGAAAGAACTATATTAAACAATTTTCAAAAACAAACTGTGTATGGTACTTTACTACTTTTTATATACACCCGTACAGCACAAAACTTGCAGTTACATTGCAATAACATTGCTACAATATTGCAACATTGCTGTAATGTAGCTGCAATGTAACTGCAAGGTTTGTGCTGTATGGGCACACATATATTTGTCTAGTGGAAAGAATTGATTTTTCCATTGATTTTCAGAATATCATCCAATGGTTTTATTATTCTAGCCATTGGTACAGGAACTGTAATAGAGTGCCTTTGTATTCTATATTTTGTATTCTACTAAATGTTTTTTTGTGATTCGGACGTTGATGAAAACGTCTGTTAATATTATATAAATATAAAACTATAGTATCGGTTCGCAACACATCTTGTTTTTCACGTTTGATCAATCCTCTTTTTTTTCTTCTTCGGGTTATGGAAACTGCCACAAGTAGCTTGAGTTTACCAAGCGCTTTCTCTATCCTTTCTTTTCATTCAAATACATATTTTTCTTTTTTACTATTATCTAAATTATATTTCAAGAATTATTATTTTGTTATATCAAAGCTACAGATATCTTCAAATTTTAATGATATCATATCAAATTTGAGTTCAATATATTAATTAAAAAAATGATTTTTAACGTAGGTTTTTATTAAATTTGTAATCACATTTTATTACTGCTATTCGGGTCATTTATTTATCAACATTCGAATCCTAATTATTATTAAGGCTTTACGCGATTTTGCTTGCTATTTCATTGCATGCTTTTCATGTGTATAATTTGTTTCCTTAAGCACGCTTTGTAATTTAAATTGTTTTAAATGATCTACAGCGTGAAGATTATGAAAATAATAATCTTGAAGCGCTGAAAAGCTAACGAATTTTTACATAACGTTGATTTTGCGATATTGCAATATCGAAGTTAATACACGTACAATTATAAAAACTGAACGCTGATAAAGATATCATTACATAGAAACACTAAAATAACATCAGTAGTATTTGAACAAGCCTTAAAAATTTAATTCATATTGTATTTAAAAAAAATTAATTTGCTTTCCGTGTACTTCAGCATTTTATTTAGAAATGTAAGGATATACCATATGAGATGTCAATAAAAATAACGAGAACTGTAAAAACTTATTGTATATAATTACATAATATATGTGAACGAGAAAATATTAATTGAGAATAAGAGTGTTGCGCGTTATACATGTATGTATAAATACACAATTGAGATAAATGATATGTTTTTGTATACCCCAATGCAATCTGCATCTGCGAAAGTTTTGTAAAGCGAAAAGATATTTGCAGCTTATATCGATTTCCTCGCTGTTCGATAATGAACATGACGCATTGCGTATGTAATGTATGTCTTGTATGCTCACGATCCTATTAAACTAATTAATGGTATACGAAATAAACAAGTTATTACAACAATTTGAAAACTTCTTTTATTTTATCTGGTCTTGCTTTCGTTTTTTTATGACATAAATTAATATTTCTTTAAATATGACATAAACTAACTGTTCCTTTTATAGTGATGGGAACGAGAAAAAAGTATAAAATGGATCCAGATATCATAAAATCGTACAAATCTGTGAGAGATGCAGAGTTTATTGTAGGAACTATTGTATTAGTTTCTTAATTCAATAAAACCAGCATATAATTTAGTGTCTTTATGTTGTAATATATACATGTTAAAATGCAAGAATGAGTAGCTTGTTAAAAATAACTTAACGCGTCGTTAAAGTAAAAAAAATATTTGGCAATAAACATATTTTTCTGCGATTTACGTACGTTCAACTTTATAATAGACCGAGGAGCACAGTCACGATTGCAATGAGTAACGATAATTTGTGTACGATTGCATCGTTCTTCGTGTAAGAATCGACCACGTGAATCTTCCATCCCATATTTGCGTGCGTGAAAGACTGATAATAAACCAGGTCGGGCCACGATGAATTTGGGCTAATTACCAAGATGCCGCCTTCCCCTGCACGCGAGACATAGTGGAATGTGAGAGAATCACGGCTCGTTTTCGAAAACGTGAGCGTCTCCAAACACTCAACGTCCATTTGAGAAAGAACCCCGCACTAATCATATAGGAAATTGGATCTCGGTTAAATTGGCTAGTTTTCACATATGTTGTAGCTTAATTATGACCTGCTGAGCAAAAAATGTAATGGACTCAAACTTAAATAATGGCTAGTTACTGGGCTACAGCCACTCAAACGTATAAGAAAATTTGGGCTCCGCGGGTCTCGTTTGGAAATACTTTGAAGCATATTAGGAAAAAAATGTTTCAGACAAAAATTGTTTGGTTCGAAGGGAGACATAAGACGATGCCATTAATTTGACCTTGGATAATCATTTGTAGGTCACATGAGAGTCAATTTCAATTTCTTAAATGGACACCCCCATTTTTCACTGCACATTTTTATGTCAAGAGATTTTCAAAGACACTATATAATGAAATATAGTCTTATTTCGAACCAAACAAATATATATCAAACCAAACAACTTTTGTCTGAAACATTTTTTCCTAATATGCTTCAAAGTACACATTTCCAAACAAGACCCGCGGAGCTCAAATTTTCCATGTTTGACCGGCTCTAGCTCAGTAACTAGCCATTATTTAAGCTTGAGCCCATTATATGTTTTGTTCAGCAGGTCAGAAGCTACAACATATGTGAAAACTAGCCAATTTAACCAAGATCCAATTTCCTATATGATTAGTGCGGGGTTCTTTAAAGATTTCAGATTAAAAACAGTTTTACCTGGCTCGCAGACTTGTACGAGGGTTCGATTGAATTTCTTAAACGACGGGAAGGTATCGTCCAGTCTTCTGTCTCGACCGTTGTGCTTGCTTAAGCAAAGCGGCCCAACTGGAAGATGACAAATCGAGTCAAGAGCCTCGGGAATACGTTAAACGATTCGTAGAAAAAGAATCTACAAACCTGCAGTCGGTCGTGGCCGACCTCTTCTAGTCAGTTCAACGCCAGCCAACACCCTGATCTTGCTTTGCGCAAGATCGCTGAGCGTGTCGTATCCGCCGTGAGGGTCGTCGGTTATGATTAAGGGATGATAGAGCTCCGCGCTATGCGGATTATTTCCACCGTGAACGCGAAAACTGTACGTCAAGCCTCGACGTAGATATAACTCGGGAATTAACGCGCCTTCAATGTACCACGCAAGACCCATCGATGGTTTACCTGCGAACACATTTCCTGGGGTTCTCCGTCTCGCAAGAGCAATAAGCAGCAATCGAAACTAATTATGCTTATACCTGTAATACCCTGGTATCCCTGTTTTCCTCCGGAGGGGCCGATGGTTGCTTTGAAAGTTCTAACGCTTCTGTCGAATATTTCAGTTTTCTGCCAAGGTTCTCTGCACAAATAATCAATAGTTATATAAAAAAAATCCCCCTTCACAAATATGTAATTGATATGTTTGCAATATTGAATAAATAATTTGATACATGTGTGATCAAAGTATATCAATTTTGCGCGCAAATTATATTTACGAGATATTATAGTTATTTTAATAAATACATTTGAAATGACATTTTTATTTCATTTTTTTCCCATGGCATTATATGTGATTTTTGTGTTTTTTGAATTATTCTTTTATCTAGCTTACAAAATATGCTTGGCTATAGTATTTTTAATTTTTAATGTCTTCTTTTTAGGCGGACATAAGCAAGATATCTGACCAAAGTATTCGTTTCTCGCACCTAGGAAAGATTTTGTTATTATGCTCCGTGAAATAGATGCAGGTGTTTTCCGGCTCCTTACGATTCAACTCGAGCACTACGTCGCTTCTTGGATACACATCGTGGAAACTCGGCTCGTTATTAGTTTTATCAAGCCTACCCAAGGCCCATACCACATACACCGGTTTATCCGTGGGAAAATCTTTGTCTCCAACGTCGGCTGTGCGAAAAGAAAATTTTCATGACCTGCGTCGTACGAGAAGCATTTATAAAATAGAAAAGAACACGTGCGTCTGCGCAACTCACATGAAATAAGCGTGCGTCTGTACGTGATGGTGTTGATGCCGTCCTCTCTCACCGCCGTGTAGAGCTGGTTGGTATCTAAACCACCGAGAAGCTCATCTCTGCAAACTCCTTTGTACTGACCGAGAACCTTCCCACACTGTTGTCACAATCATTAGAATGCTCACATTAGTCACCTTTCGTTTCTCTCCCCCTTTCGTCTATCCACGAAATTAATAGATTATTTAAGTAACACTTTACACACTGGCGCCTTTGCTGTAATATTGTAGTCTGTAGCGTATCCTCGTGTGTCGTCCATATACGCGACGGCCACATCCGCACCTTCCATTCGACTGGAGCTCTCGGAACCGGATAAACCAAACGCCATGTACTCGTCTTCGGCTGATAAAAAAAAATCACGCGAAAACGAGCAATCGCTTTCAAGCCTCGATTTTTGAGGAGATAATTGATAATTGAGACTATACGAGCTTTTTGACGCATACCGACTTGACCTGTCAATTGAATAGTGATCTGCGGACCGAAGATTTCCCAGGCGACCTGATATCGCTTGTGCAGCTGGACGCAATTCGGGAGGGACTGGGTTTGCTTGAGAACTTTTATCAACGACGGCGGCACATTGAGCCCGTCCGGTATAATGACGGAACCGTAATTGGATTTAGTCTTCATGTCGAAAACACTCAGCCAGTCAATGTTGAAGACGGTCTTATCGCCTGGCAGCTCCAGTATGATATCCTCGTTATTGTATGACCTAAGAGAATCCATGCTGGAAAGAGAAATGCACAGTTTTACATGTGTTTTTGGATTAAATTTCGTTGGAATTTTACGTCGACAATTTACAAACAAATTATTCGCGTTCGACAGAATCTTTTTAATTCGCCGGCTGTCTTGAACATAATCTGAAATTAATAATTTTATTACTCTCTTTATACACTCTCTCTCTCTTTGGCTTTCACCATTTGGAGACTCGTGAATCTGTCAGATGACAACCGGAGATACAGCACAACTCTTAGACGCCGAACATGATTATGTCTACTTTAGGTATTATTCTCAATTTTTCCTATTATCAATCTAAGTCTCATTAGTTTATATTCGTTATATTTAACATCTTTATATAATTTTGTAAACAATTTTTTGTTCTTAGTTTCACTGAAGATGACCCGAAAATGGGTCGAAACGTTTGTTTTAATATTTTTATACAAATAAAAAGTTCCTTGTTGGACAACTCCGCACGAACACCTGCGTTTGGCTCGCATTGGCCTTCTTCCCCCCCCCCACCAATTTTAATAATTTTATTTTGTTTCTCTTACTATCCGTATTCGTCGGGTACTTTCTGACCCTTGCTGGACGGCTGCGGGCCAAGGCCGATCCAAAAGTAGGTGTCCACACCTTGCCCGTCGTAGGTAAACTGCGGAATACTGATGGTTTTCGAGTCCAGGATTACGATGGGCTCTGACGAAACATTGTGAGATCTTTTCGACAGCTGCGATATCTTCTGGGGAGCGGGTGGGTCAAACTCCTCCGGGATGTAGACATCGCCGAAGGTGTTCTACGATTGAAGAGCATTTCAGCAATCATTCGAATTAATTCCACGTCAATCGTTGTAGATTAGTGTCTCGCATATTTGTCGAGTTTCAAGTAAGGATAAAACGAGTCTACGATTTCGAAGCTTGCACGTTTTAAAGCGACCTTATATGTACATAAATTGATTCTTGCTTTAAAATTCATAATACCTGGCTCACTAAATCGTACACCGCGAACCACTTGATGTCCGTTATTTTTTTATTATCCGGCAGGGTCAATGTAAAATCCTTGTTGAAGTATCGGTCCAGTATGTTTGTTCTGAAAGAACATGTATATACTCGAGATGCGACTTAATCTTTTTAAGTCTTCTTTTGAAATTACAACGAAAAGTAATGTGGCTTACTTGCCCCACTCATCGGGGACGATAAATCCTTGCGGGCCTGGTCTGTTCGACGCGCCTGCCCAGAAAAACGTGTCGGCCCCATTGCCGTCGTAATTAAAGGACGTCAGCAGCAAAGTGTACTGGTCCACGGCCCAGACGTCGCCGGAAACTTGATGGTGATACGGATTTAATTTTCCCAGATATTTCCCCTTGTACTTTTCCCCATTATCCTCTTCTCCAGGAGCTGCCGACATTGAAATATTTATTGTATTTAATTTTACAATTTACGTTACTTCTTGCTCTCACGTCTTTTCACAAATTTACATATTCATCTATCTGCTAGGCTCAAAGATCGAAAACGTTCGCTGAGCGAAAAAACCGTCCACAACGCGTTCCGACTTCGCAGATTCCTCGGATATAAAAGGAATTTTATTTGTATCTATAAGAGTTGACTTCGGAAAAAAATTCTTTCAAAGTTCATGTTGAACAGATTACGCAAAAGAATGTAAAAAAGTAAGTCCTTCTTGAGCTCATAACGATTAGCTGTGCTATTTGGAAAGCGTTATTGTTATGAAAATATGCGAAACAATTTTCTAAAAGAAGGTTTTTAAAATAAATTCGCTCCGAATTCACGATTCCGAGCTCCAGATTTCCTGCCGCGTGCACGGAGACTCGTGTTCGTCGGAGACATCGACGCTGAATAGGCGATGTCTTCGGCGCTTGACTCGATTTCGGCTCGGCGCCGCCCCGTCGATCTCCTTTCCTTTTTCACTAATGCGCATTTTTTCTGCAACTTCTCGCACCCATTCCTGGCTGCTAATTACCGCAAGTAAATAGCAGGCATCCTAGAAGCATCACAAGGGCACTCGTTCCCTTCTTTCTCACGACACCTGCCATCGCTTCATCTTCCTCCCAACTGCTCCAAAGTGTGTCGACTAACTTTTATCGGGAGACCCACGAGATCGCGAACAGCGAGGTGTTGACGAAACGGATGAATAGATGATCGGCAAGCTACGTGCAACCGTGACGATCCATTGTCATAATCAGGGGAGTCGGGCTGGATCCACGGGTACCACGCGCGCGATAACGAACGGCGACTAACGGATAACGGGAGGGCTAAGCCGCGGGTGATCACTCGTTGTACGCCACGCCGATCACCGTCGTCTCTCTTTCGCGCGGCGGAAACGAGCGGAAACGCGACTAGAAAGCCGAATCGGCCTTCGTGGGACGCGGTTCCACGCACAACCGCTACGGCCGCACATTCCCCGGGAGAAAGTACGCCCGTGCGCGGGGGGGGCCAATCGACGATGGAAGAACGAATTCATTCTGCAACCGATCGCGGTCATTGTCGCGTTACTCGCGCCGAAATCCCGTTTGCGAGGACGACGGTCCGGAAGGATCCTTCGATGAAACCGTCATTATTAGTCACGCTTTGGGTTTTCCCGTGGGTTTAGAGAAAGGAGGAGCTTGAAAAGTACGGTAGAAAAATTAAATATAAAAGCTACAAGAAGCGATTACACAGTTGAAGGGAATACAAAAATAACTGCAGAGGATAATTAGTCAAAGACAATAGATTAAAAAAGTCTAAGAATAGAAATATTGCTCAAAGTTTTAATCTCTCAAGCTCTTCCACTCTCTAAACCCAGTGGTTTTAACGCAATATTAGAAAAAATACAAATATATTGGTTAAATATCTGGCTTAAATAATTTACATATTTTTCTGGCTAAAATTATTTGTCTGCCTCAATGTTCTCTTTTTTCGTTACGTGGGAGCGTTTGATTAAATTATTTCAAGTGCAATGTATTTTATGACGTTCAACCGAGAGTTTTATAGATAATTTTATAATATGCAAAGAGGTCGAATAAAGCGACATTCGTTTTTGTCTCGTAAAAGTATACACATATTTTAAGAATTCATTAGCACGTTTTATTTCCACATAATAAAAAAATACTATACTACGAGATTCAGGTACTACGTATATGTTTAATTGTTTCTTATTTTAAAGCATTCAGTTTTATGATCGATGGTACGTTTCAGTGATATGTTCCACTACATAAAAATAATTTTGTTATACTATATATTTGTGTATCGAACAAACACGAATCATTACCATCTTATTTCTATAAAAAATTAATACGAGTATAATTTCGCCAAGTTCAATTTCTAATGCCATCAACACGTAAAGAAGAACATTAGCGTTTCGTTGGCGAACCACGTGGATAAGAACTACGATTGCATGTATTTCAAGTCAGCGAAATTATATCGTATTTCACCTAATTTCCATATCTGTAAGAAACAGAAGAAACATACAGATCATATTGTCCTGAAGAATGTCTTCTTGTATCTATGACATGTGTAAAGTATACAAAATGCATATATAAAAAGATTTGATATCCTTTTGTACTATTTAGTCATGTTGTCTGCACTCGTAAAAATAGACCCATATCTACTCATGAAGATTAACTTTAATCTCGATGTTGTTTATCTTTTTCTAGTTTTACGAATTAGAAGAAGATTAAAGGTAACTGAAACCAAGATTCAAATTAATCCGCAAACTGGTAGAAATGGACATTAATGGTAAAATTATACGAGTAACTTCCGTATGTTAAGTAAAACAAATTAGATCCTCCATTATCCGTAATACATATTCGATAATCATAAATAGATCATAAATCAGAGTCTTATTATTTTACTAAAAAAGACACGTTATCGTAATACAAATTTTAACGCAACTACCTGAGATAATACAATAAAAATGTAATATGTATGTATTTTCTCTTTTTCCAAGAAATAGAATATCTTAAAACTTTCTCACTTAAACATAGAAATTAAGGTAAGTATGGCATTGAAAACTATCTCTTAGACTTTGTTAAAATTTGTTTGTTTTGTACCCATTCTAATTGCACATACTCGAGATTTGTGATATATTTACAAGTCAATATTATGCATAATAGTTTTGACAAAGCCGTTTAAATATGAAATGCAATTGACAAAAATATCTATAACAGAAGAATAAAACAGAGCGTTTACTATATTTAAATATGACGTAACCGATCTAATGTTATAAAAATTGCCCTGTTTTATTTAACTTACAATTAGACAATTGTGAAATAAAGATATATACGTTTGTAGTTGTAAAATACAACATAATGATTTTACGTACACAACAAATTTCTAAAGTAAACAATATTAGTTTTTCATAAATTGTTACGTTCCTCAAAACACATTTTAACAATATTCTTTTATTAAAAATGATTGTACTCTTCTATCTTGTGTCTCAAATATATCTTTTTAATATGTAAATTTATAATGTTGCCTAAGAAGAGAGAAGAAAAGAGAAGAGAGAAGAAAAGAGAAGAGAGAAGAAAAGAGAAGAGAGAGGGGAGAGAGGGAGAGAGGGGAGGAGAGAGAGAGAGAGAGAGAGAGAGAGAGAGAGGAGAAGAGAGAATTACTAGTAATAAATTTCAATAAAATCCATAAGACAGTTCTTGCCATAAGTATTTGCAAAAATAGAATAGCACTCTACATAAATAGGCACTAGTAATTCTACAAATTGGATATAACGCTAACGCTTTGCGACAAATCTACTTGGCCCCTTAATACTTTTTGCTGCAATCTTTTGCAAAAGATTTTGGCCATAAGTTTATTTCGACGTGCTTCCTCTTGCCGTTCTTGTTGCCGCCGTTTGAATCGCACCTCATTCAGCCGGAGATACCGTTTACGTGATCTCTCCTTCATCTCCTCGTCGCTAATTTTTCGCTGCATGTAAACTGTAATCAAGTATTAAACAAAAAACCTAAGATGTAGTGCTACAATTTGCAAAGTTTCCTCAGAAAACGTAACAAAATGCAGATTACGTCGACAGACTTTTGCAATATAAACAATCTCACCTGTTGGCTTTCGTACTGGCGCGGATTTAATAACGCTGGATATACTAGCCATCGCTAATAACCGTATTCGCTTTTCTTTCCTCAATTCTCGCAACTGGCATATTTCCGACAAATATTGCCGGCGTGTTTCCGCATTGCCCACAAATTCGGGATTATTTCTAGATAAATAATCCTAAAATCGGTTTAATTAAGATGTCATTAATCTGAGAAAACTGGAATACAATATTATCTAACTCTCTTGTTTAAAATTAAACAGTTATACTGCCGTTATAAACAAAGTTATTTCAAGCGGTCAGATTAAAAAATGGAACGTTTCATTTATTAAACTAATTCAAATTTTCACCTGTAATGTACTGGTCTGATGATTTTTGCTGGAATGATTTTTCTTAATAATATCGCAAGGACAGACGTCAGACTTGGCCGCGTTCAACGGTTGCTTGACGACTTTCGGCGTCGCGACGTCAGAGGTTTCGTTTTTCGAGACATTCTCTTTCGTGAACGATAACTCGTATGCGACAGCTTTGGGATACGTTTGACGGCAGGCACACTTTCTGGTATTTTTATACATGGCACCACACGCGCGGCAGTGTTTGTAATTTCTCTCGGTCTTACTAATACTGGTATCGTCTATATAATTTGGTTTTGACGCGTAAACTTTGCGCGCTTTGACAGTGTCTTTCGCTTGATTATTACTACAGGAGCAAGCCTCGTTGCAATTGCATTTTAAGCTACTTTGTACTTTATGTTGTCGATTCACGTCGCTGTCCTGCGAGCTGTCGGAGTAAATTTGCGCCTGACGCTCCGCTCTCTTTAGGCGACACTCGAAACGGCACGAGCCGTTACCGTCAACCTTGCAGCTCGAGCAACACTCGTGCAACATTCCCGCGGCGGTTCCCGGATTATGGCATCCAGCACAATCGTTCGCGCAATCACAAATCTTCCCTGCGTCGCGCTGCTCGCCGTAGTTCAGCGGTCGCATTCTGGCCTGGCCCTCCGCGTTGTAGTTCTGTCGAGAGTTGTCAATGATAATCCGTCTATTCGTGTCATTTGCGGAAACATCGTCGCACTCGCACGCGTTCCCGCAGGTTTGCTCGACCCCCGAGACGTCGTCGTGCGCGCAGGAGGGATTCTTTTGGCACGCACCACAGACGGTGCCGCCGACACCTACAGCGGGCTTCTGCTTGAAGCACAACGGACACGTCGTGAACGACCGTTTGTAATATTCAGTCCGCTTGACCTTGACGGCGCCGGAGGCGGTCTTGTTGTCACGCGTGCAACTGCATTTCGACTTCGACGCGTTGATCTGATTCTTCGCCTCCTTCTGCTTCGGCTGGACGCCTCCGCCTTGCGACGACGCGCGGCGACGGCGAGCGGCAGCCTCCGCCGCGCTGTTGTCGCTCGCGTAATTGGTCTGCGTCTGCTGCGAGACAGCCGGCATCGCGTCCCCCTGATGGTCCTTCCGCGGCCTCACCGGGGCCGCGCTCTCGGACGGGCTCTCTTTACATCGCGCGCACGTGTGACGCGCGAACGGCGCGGTGGCGTGCGTCTGGCAAGATTGATCCCTGCACCTGGTGCCGTTCTGATAGTGCGCGCACGGCTGCTTCGCAGGACTCGCGTACTTGGCGTCGTACCCGTCCGACTCGGGCGTGACTGGCGTCGAGGAGGCTTCCCGTGGCAGTGTCTGCACGCCAACGTGCTTCGTCGCGGATCTCCGCGCTCTGCCGGCGGACACAATCTCCCCGCCGGTCTTCGAGTACACGCTCGTCACGCCTGTGGCCGTTTGCGTGCAACTGTTGCGTTTCATGATCCTCTGGACCATAGTGTCGCCGGCAGCCTCGCACGCCGCCAGGTTACAGTGAGACGACCATGGCTCGTTAACGGAATCCTCTCGCAGGTCGGACACGCTCCTGCGGGCACCAAATTGAACGCTGTTAGTTCTACGTGCACGTATACGAGCGAGTGAGGGGTTTGGTGGAAGAACGGCTTAAGTCGATTTAAGTTTTGGTGAAAAATTTTGTTCATCTCAAGTTGAAAATTTGGAGGTCGAAAAGAACCCCGCACTAATCATATAGGAAATTGGATCTCGGGTAAATTGGCTAGTTTTCACATATGTTGTAGCTTATGATCTGCTGAACAAAAATGTAATGGGCTCAAACTTAAATAATGGCTAGTTGTTGGGCTACAGCCAGTCAGACATAGAAAATTTGGGCTCCGCTCTCGTTTGGAAATACTTTGAAGCATATTAGGAAAAATGTTTCAGACAAAAGTTGTTTGGTTCGAAGGGAGACATGAGACGATGCCATTAATTTGACCTTGAATAATCATTTGAAGGTCACATGAGGGTCAATTTCAATTTCTTAAATGGACACCCCCATTTTTCATTGCACATTTTTATGTCAAGAGTTTTTCAAATACACTATATAATGAAATATAGTCTTATTTCGAACTAAACAACTTTTGACTGAAACATTTTTTCCTAATATGCTTCAAAGTATTTCCAAACAAGACCCGCGGAGCCCAAATTTTCCATGTTTGACCGGCTGTAGCTCAGTAACTAGCCATTATTTAAGTTTGAGCCCATTATATTTTTTGTTCAGCAGGTCATAGGCTGCAACATATGTGAAAACTAGCCAATTTACCCGAGATCCAATTTCCTATATGATTAGTGCGGGGTTCTTTATTGTCCTTGGAGTGAATCCGTTTAGTGGAAAATTCACCGTTAGATCGTGTAATCGTTGCGAAGTAGGATATGTGGTTGAATTTGGGTGTCAAAAACCTGCTGTCTCATCTTAGAAACCTATCTCATAATAGAGGACTTTGCTCCACATATTTACTACGTATTAACAAACTTGCATATTTTATAGATATCGATCTGTTGAATACGATTAGAGCTTTTAACTTGTAACAAAATCTTATATTTATGTTCCATACAGCATCTTAAGGAGGATGGTTGCTGAAATGAAGATGGTAAAAATAAATTCAAATTTATAGAAAATATTCGTCTATGGGAATCTGTCCTCCATGCAAAAGTTTAAGACGATTGTCTGCATGGTTGTCGAATAATTAATTGTTAAAGTTATACTATTGCACATGGCCAACGTAGCAAAGTATTACGATATCTGTCATTTAATTCCCGAAAGCATGTTAAAAATGATAAGAATTTTATAAAAATAAGTGCAAATAATTCTATACATATATGTTCTTGATAAACTACGTAGACAAGTTATTTCAGTATTCGTCAAAATTCTTCGTAAATATGTATAGAATTATTTGCACTTATTTTTATAAAATTCTTATCATTTTTTACATATATGTATATATTATATATATATTATATATTTTTATTTATTGTTTGAAATTTATTGTTATATAAATACAGGGTGTACTAAAACCACCGGAGGTCCTCTTAATGACAGATTCCTTAGAACATTTCCAGACGAAAATCCTAATACAAAAGTGTCGAGGCTATAATAGTTTTTAAATTAGAAGCGATTATTTTCCACAAATGAGAGGGCTGAAATTTCGCGCGCTCAGGCACGGCGAAATGACAAGTGATATAAGTGCTCCTATGAATATCGCTCTTTTTATGATGTTATGTTTATTGTATAAATTTACAATATCACTTGTCATTTTGCCGTGCCTGAGCGCGCGAAATTTCAGTCCTATCATTTGTGGAAAAAATTGCTTCTAGTTTAAAAACTATTATAGCCTCGACACTTTTGTATTAGGATTTTCGTCTGGAAATGTTCTAAGGAATCTGTCATTAAGAGGACCTCCGGTGGTTTTAGTACACCCTGTATAACAATAAATTTCATGATGGTAAACATGAAATCGCACAAGAAGCACAAAATGAACATCGGAAAATCAGTTGAGTTTAAAAGATAACGTTGTTAGTACGATAAACAAACTGAATCTGAGATTAAACTTTCCACATATCCTGGAGCCCACGTGCAGCACGAGATGAGACATCTTATTTCGTCATTGGTTCGAAGTTGCTGAGGATGACTCAAACAGAATCGAAACGTACATCTCTTTTTTATGATTTATTAAAAATAGTCCTTTTGACTTTACGCACCAACAACCGCGTTCTGACTCTCACAGCCCTATGCATCTCCTTTCGTATTGTTTTTAAATATTGAGTCTTTCATTCGTTCATATATATTATGTTGATATATTGATATATTATATATGTATATATATTATCATTTTAATGTATATTGTTTCTATAAATTTGAATTCATTTTTATTTGAGCAACCAACCTCCTTAAGATAAACTTGAGACGATCTTCGATACAAGATCTGAATACCGACCTTAGTACGCGGTCAATGCAAGCAGCCGAATTCGCTACTAGCTTTTACAGTATATGCAAAAACAACCGAAGTCGTTCTTCCACCAACTCCTCAAATACAAACTACCTGTGTATGCCGTCCGTGTGTTGCTCACGCCTGAGTATCGCCGCCTGCTTCGACTTGAGATTCGCCGATTTGGACTTTCTCGGCGAGGACTTGGGTCTCTCTAATCGCCTGGGCTGCTCGAGCAATCTGGCGAACAAAACGAAAGACCAAATTGAAAGACCCGAGAAGAAAACGAGCCCGGCGAAACGGCGCGAAGCGTACTTTTTCAGGTTACAAAGGTGGCTGATCTCGTTCGTGATCCAAATCAGCTGATTCCTCTTCTCCATCTCGGCGTAATTCACCAGCTTGGAGTCGCCGGACTCGGACATGCTGCACTTGTTCAACTCGAACTGCCTCTCGGACGACGTCGTCGGCAATCGCCAGTCGGTGTTGTTGTCCGTGTTGTTGTTGGACTCGACCGGGGTCCTTCTGTTGTTGACGACGGCGTCCAGCAGGATCCTGTTGTGATCCGGAGCTATGCTGTTGGTCGTGGTCGACTCCCGGTGCGGCAGCTTGCAGCTCTTCTCGAAGCAAAATATGTCGTTCACTTTGGTGTGCTTGTGGTTGCGCTGAGGGACGAAGCACTCGGAGCTCTCGCTCTTGTCGGGATCCGTCGGCGTGTTGCTCATCTGCTGGCAATCGTCCGTGCGCAGCCCGAGCCGCGCCTTCCTGCCGTCCATCACCGTCCTGTCTGTGTGCCGGTCGAACTTGTCGCTGTTGCTGCTCTCCAACGCGACCTCCTTGATGACGTCGCTCGCGGTCCCCATGGACTTGTGCATGGACGCGTCCTTCTTGTGCAGGTTCCACTCGTCTGAGGACTCGGTGGTGCTGCGCTTGTTCGCCAGGGCCTGGAGCAGCTCGGCCCTGTAGACCTTCTTCCTGGCGTCATCCGGATTCCAGGGAACGTTGTCCTCTAGATTGTGCTCGATCTTGTCGTCCATGTACTTGGCGGTGACGAGCCGCTTGATGACGTGCTGTATCAGCCGCTTCTTCACCTGCTTATCGCACTTGTTGGCGTCGACCAGGCTCTTGAGGATGTTGACGCTCCTCTCCAGATCCCGGACCAGGCTGTCCGAGTCGCCCCAGAGCTTGTCGTTGACGCTGGAGCTGCTGTTCGGCAGGGTCGAGTTGGACCTGCCGGTGTCCGACGAGACGTGGCTGTCCCTCCCGTTCGGCACGTCGGCGAAGGTGTGCCCGGGGAAGTACTCGAAGCTGTTGGCCCGCCCGGACACGTTCTCCGTCTCGTCGGGCTGCGGCGTCGCCGAGGTCGACGCGTTCCGCGAGACGTCCGAGCTGTTCCGCCGCCCCCGGCTCTCCCTCGCGTCCGCGCCCACCTCGGCGTCGCACTTTCGCGGATTCTTAACTTTGTACGTGCCCTTGGACCCCTTGAGAATGGAGTGTATCGCCGTTCGCAGATTGGGATCACTCTCCTCGAGATCCGAGACCTGCACGCCAACGGACTCCTGGGCGCACACGTCGGGACTCGTCTGTATCACCTTGTCGCAGGTGGCGGGTTTGTTCACCACGGTGGCGATCGAGGACGTGGAGTCGAAGATGAGGGGGAACGCGGTCCTCCTCTCCTTAGCGTGCAGATTCACCTCGCTCTGGCTGCGCTTCAGTGAGGCTTTCGACGGCGACGCGGGTATCACGTTCATCGAGCTGCTCTTCTTCAGCGGCGAGCTCGACGGGCGCGCGACCTCTCTGCGTCTGCTCGCCGTCGGGCATCTCGCCGACGGCACTTTGAACACCAACGACGTCGGGGTGTCGTGTATCTCGAGTCTGATAGGCCTCACCGCGGCGACGGCGGCGTCGCTCGGGACGCATCTCTCCTGCGACTTTATGTCGTCCCCAGTTATGATGCCCGGCAGATGATTCTTCACGATCGGCGTGATCTCTATCTCGCTCTCCGAGCCGGAGACGTTGCCGATCAACGGCGTGGAATTGGCGTCGGGGACGGACGACGACTTGGAGCCGCTCTGCGCCACCATGCCCTTCCCGGACTGCATCCCCGACTCGGTGGTGCCCTCCGGGTCGAGGCGCAGCGCGGCGGAGCATCCTCGCGCCAGCGCCATGCGCTCTATGGTGCTGAGCTTCTCGTCGCTCCGCTTACCGTGCGCGTGCGAATTGAAGTAGCCGACGTCCGCGCCGCTGTCCCACTCCAGCGGCTTGTAGGACGCCACGCTGGAGGTCGGGGAGGACAGCTTCCTCTCGCTTGCCTCCACACACTTGTCTCGGCTCTCCCCTCGCTCCTCGCGTATCGTCTCCGGCGCGGAGGTGCAATTGGGCTCGGGCGACGGCGTCTGGATATCTATCAACGGTTGAATGTTATACCTGGACCTGGCGTCCGTCGTACTCGAGGACTGCCCGATTAACGGGGGCCTTACCCACCTGCGCCTCTCCCTCGGCACGCAGGACTTGAGAGCGTACTCCTCTCCGACGCAGTCCTGCCTGCTAGCGGACGAGGAGTCCACTTGGGCGCTCAGCTCGTACACGCTGTAATAGTATTTAATCGCTTCCTGCGGCGTGCTCGACACGGGCAGCGAGAAATACTGATCCAGATTCCCGTTGCGGGCGTACTTTTCATAGTATTCCCTCACCTGCGCGGAGAGGCTCTTCTTGCCAACGTGCGACCTGAACTTGAACGGTCCGATCGACGACGCCGGCGGTGGCGGTGGCGGCGGCGGCGGCGGCGGCGGCGGCGGTGGCGACGGCGACGGCGGCTGCGGCGAGCGGCGCGGGACGATGTCCTCGTCGCGTCGCTCGCATCTTTCGCGCCTCGCCGGCTCGTCCGGGTTCGCAAAGTCTCTCAGACAGCAGCCCTCGCAGCTGGATCCCGAGTCGTACTCCATGCTAGCTGTCCACGGTGCATTCTCCCGCATCCGCGGCCTCTCATGCCCGGATTCCGCTCCTGTGCGGATCTCCCGTTCGATCGTCCGACGAGTTCTCACTGCCCGACGTGCGTCGCGGGCGAGGCCGGTTACGCCTGTCCCGCCCGAGTGCTCGCAGTCGCTTCGGCGTCTGTCGTCGTCGACGACGAGGCTCGTTAGGTTAGGACACGGATGCGCGTCACTTGGCGCCACGAATATTTTCCGTTGGAAAATAGCGGTGATTCGCGTCCGGAGCGCACCACCCCGCTTGGTACGTTACGCCTCGCTACGCGCCGCGCGATTTAAACGATTGCAGTTACAGTCATTTACGTTACGACTGTTTAAATCAAATTCTTGTTTACATCTACTACCACGGATATCGGGCGTACCTCTCGCGAGTGGGTTTCGGAACGCATTCGCGGACTCTGGGCTGGATTCACATGGAGCGTAGAGCCACAGATTAAAGCCCGCTGCAGACGATGCTATTTTTCCTGCTGGATTGCTTGCGATTTAGTAAATTACTATCATTGCACCACTCAGCATTCAGGATTCCTAGTAATTTACTAAATTGCAAGCAATCCAGCAGGAAAAATAGCATCGTCTGCAGCGGGCTTAATAGACAGATAGCCAAAGACCCGGGTTGAGGCGAGACCAGCAGTTCTCACTGGTTTCAGCGCCATACAGTGGTAGCGGCTAATGCAGTAACTATATTCCTAAGATATAGCGGGTTAGATTATACGAAATCTTTTAACAGTCGGTAAATCGCATTGTTACCCAGTGAACACCAAGTAGAAGCATTCCTACTCACCAACATAAATATAATTTAACACATATTGTATAAAACAGTTTTATTATTGAGTGGGAAGTTATAACATTATTGTTATGTCATTATCTATCACTTGGTGTACA